GCAGGATATTGCCTCCTGAAAAAGTGCCTTTAAGACAGTGGTTCTCAACCTGTGGGTCGACCATTTCACGGGGGTCGCCAAACAATGCAGTCTGCCATTTTTTTCCCCTTTTCCTTAGCTGTGTTCCTCCCTTTTATTCTATTGGCTTTTGAAAGCAATAGAATAGACTCTCTTGAATAGAATCTAATTCTATTGGCTTTCAAAAGCCAATAGGAATTGTCCAGGCTCTCTCTGCCCTGCTGAGCCCGCCAAAAGTCCCATTCTGCAAACGGTGCTGCACCAGTTGAGTAGTCCTCGACTTACAACCGGTTGTGGGTCGCGGCATTAAAAAGGTTGAGAACCACTGCTTTAAGACAACCATGACCTGCTTGACTGAGACTAAATGTCTCCATAGACATTTGGCTATGCACTTTGGAATGAACAACCTTTGAATGGTGTGGGAGTATGAACGGGTTTCCAGAAAACATTGCAGACTACAGGAACCATTTGCGCTTCAGTATGAGATGCAGACAAGACAGACTCATCCCCAACAGCCTGAGCCTGTCTTCAACAGTGAAGGGACCCAGGGCAGAAAACATCCTGCAGCCAAGAAGGCTCCACACATATTTGCACCACTCAGGTGATCCTGAAGACACAGGTAAACCTCAAATGGCCTCAACAACTCTCTAAAAGAATGCAAATAACTGTTTGCAATGAATATAGATCCTTCCATTTTCCACCATCCAGTCAGAGCTGAAGAAGCTTCTTGGATGAGAAGCAAAACGTCTTCAAAGAAAAACAAGAAAATCCAGTTGCCTTTTGAAAAAGCACCTTTGGGACAATGAGAGGACTGGTTGCAAAATTACTTTCTTATCACTCTCTAAAGTGCATATGGTTGTTAAATGAGGCAATTGTTAAACAAGGACTACTTGTAAATTTAAATGGCGGGTAATTTAAGATATTACCAAAGAGGTGCTACTTCACAAAGTATATAGTAAATTCTGGAATCTTCTTCCAGAAAGAATACCATCTTAAGAAAGTTTTCTGAATTACCCTGCCATGAACTGGTGCAGTTTTTCTATAGGCTTTTGGTCTGAACTTATATATTTTTTTCATAGGTTTCTACTATTTTACCATTTCACTATGGTCATCCAGAAGACATTTCACGGCTTCTACAACTGGACGTTTTCTGTTTCTTGCTTCATATACTGAAAATAACCAAAGATTCACCATGAATTGAAGTCGGATTTTACTAGGAAGAATTTGAGTCCTATTAGCGTAAATCACAGTGGCAACAAAAGGCTCTAAACACACAACAGACAGACATGTAATTGTTTGGAAACAAAGGAAGTTTGAAGGATAGTCATGAATTAATGTGTGTAAGTTTAGTTTGGTTACTTCCTGGTTAAAATTTAATATGCAGAGACATTTTGTTCCATAATGTCTGAATTATTGATTGCATGCCTTGGTGGATCTCGGTATGGTGAAGGTTTAATAACAAAATAACTAAATCCTCACATTCATCCATCCTTTTTCTAAAGCAGAACCGGGGAGCTGGCCTTTAAGATGTAAGTGAACTATGGTTCACAGCATCCCTCCTTATTTTTCACAATGGCAGGAGCTCCTGGGAGCAATATAGCAATAATTGCAGGGCTAGGGATTGTTTGTGCATAAAGTAAAGTGTTGCGTAAATGTGATGCATTCTCTTTTTGATATTATTTGGAGAATAGTACTTACTACTTACTCTCATCATGACTCACAATCATTTTTAAATTATTTAAGAATCCAACACGAATATCTTCTGCAGCATCTTTCATCTGAGTCTGCAAGAAGTCTTGTGCATCAACAGGACAGCAGGAGACTGAAAAATGAGAGATAGAAATAAAGATGAGAAAGAGAAAATTTCTCTGTTCTTGAATTCATAGATAGATAGATAGATAGATAGATAGATAGATAGATAGATAGATAGATAGATAGAGATAGAGATGCATATTGTCATGGTTTTGATAGATGAAACCAATTAAAAGAACTTCAAGGCAAGGTTTTCTTCCCTTAAGAACATTTTATTCAAGAAACAAAGTATTGGCACTTACATAGTTGAACCCAAGACTGAGATTCCCTCCCCCAGATACAAAGTAACAAATTTCATTTCCCATCCCACAAAAGCTTCATAAATCACATTCTCCAATTAGCGCAAAACGGGCTTTTCTCTCCAGCTCCTCAGATGACAAAACCTTATCATACAATGTCCTTGAATTCCCACACTTCTACAATGTTATGGCTAGCTAAACCCTCAAACATTTACCCCATCTGAACTCTAGAAGAACAGAAAAAGCATGTTAAAAGCAAAAGTAAAATGACTACTGATTCTCAGTGGTCAGAGCGCTGACATCCATTGTCACAGCGTTGACACATATACATATACAGTACTTCAAATCAGTCTCCTGAACATTTTGTAGTCAAAATTGCATTATCCATGCATCAGGAGAACAAAAAAAGTCTCTAAAATATTGGTGGTGGAGAGGAGGAGAGGGGAGGGGAGGGGAAGAAAATAAATGTTTGAAGTATCACAATGAAGTCAGAACATGCTCTATACCCATGGAACCACTGTGGCTTTTGGAGAAAACTAACTGTCAGATCCTCAATGCATTTAATCCATTTCATTTCATTTCACTTGCTTGTGTATTCCATTTTCAGGTACCGCCATTCTGTTGGGAGCGGGGAGTTTCTGTGGGTTCAGAGATGTATTTCTTTTGCTTTGTTCTATCTTCTTTGAAGTGACCCTCTCTGGGTGTAAAAGGTGGGAGGAATGTGCCTGTGGCCATCTGCCTTATCTCTGTTTGGATGAGACAGGATTGTGGAGGAACTGAAACCTTGAGAACTGCATTTTAGGTCTCTAGTTCACACTTCACATCTATGGATTGGCTAAAATCAAACTGGATGATTGGACACTGGGGAGGGATTTGAAAGGGCAGTTTTAATGTGACATTTTGCGGGGGAGGAATTTGGATCTTGCCTTGCTCTACTTCTATCACTAATTCTCAATAAAAGTTCCTGTTGAAACAATGCCAAGAGTTCTGCTTTCTTGGGAGCACGAGTTGAGGCAGGTCCTTAAACTAACAGATAATTGAATAGGAGAAATGGAGTGGAATATCCTGGAACAGAGCATGGCTGACAGAAACCTTGAAAAAGAGCATTCTATGCCACAACATACACTAAATAACTTGATGAGTATGTCCTGCACATGAAATCTCTTTTGTTACTTTCTGTACATCTAAGTGAAGTGTGGCACTTTGATGAAAATCAAGAAAAAAATAATACTTGTAGAAACTGTTTCCATGATTTTGGTCCTTACCAAGGTGACCAAAAGCATCCATAAGTATAGAGCGATGATCTTTGCAGATCTCCCGATGTTCGTAACAGGACTGTAAGAAAAAGGGGAAAAGAAGCCTTTATTTATTTAATTTGGTTCCCAAATACTGTACTAGCTTGGGCAATGTTCAGAATTCAATTTATATTCTGATTTATTGGGGTCTTGTAGATTTATGTAACTTTGGTAGAGCTTGAGATCCATCCCTCAGTTTCCCCACTCTTTTTTTTTTTTTTTAGTAAAGTTGAGAGAAGGCTTCACCCACTCAGGAAGAAGTTATGTTAAATGAACCGCTGATACTGATTTCAGGATAATCAATAGTCGGTAGATGCCTTTTTCCTCAGCAAGTTCCAGAGCGATGGGAAAAATATTTATTTATTTAAATTAAATTTATTTATTTAATTTAAAATGTTTATATAGCCATTCATCTTATACCAAACTCTGGGCATCAAAGCAACATATAAACCATATTACTTGGAATTATTTCTATCCTTACATGTGATTTAGAATTCTCTATTATGGTCTGAACTGAACTCTGAGGTGGTGGCAGAAAGAAAAAATAAAAGAAATGTTGCAAATTGGTATTCTCCGTGAAACATGTTTTCCATACAGCATATTATTGTCTTTTCCATTGGAGGTGGAAATCGAAGTAAAATGTTCTAATCAGGCTACGTCTGGATTCAACAGAGCACAAAGCAATATACTACCCACCAGATCACACATAGCTGATTCCCCTTCAGAATCCTGCCTTTCCAAAGTAGTCATTTGGATATTGGGTTTCCAGTCCTGTCGTGAAAATATCTGGGGGTTTTTTTGTAGTGGAGTATCAAATGGCAGAACCTAGAACAAAGCGAGACATATCATTGGGGGAAAACATTATTTTTATATATTTTCTGTTGGGGACCCTGTATTCACTGTAAGGTCTTAGAATTTTCATCAAGTAGCTTCAATATTAAAATTGAAAAAAGAGGGCTTGGAGGTATCCGGTTGATGAAAAACTAACATGTCATTCAGAGGGCCAAGCTAAATGTTGCTGAAAGGCTCATGGAAAATTAATTCAAATCACAGAGAAACGACTTTGCATGGAATACCAGCTATTTGGTTTGGCTTTTTTGATGGTGACATCATAACTTGCTGCATGAAAGGTCAACCACATGGCTTGGATCTGTTGACAGGGTATTACAATCAGTATCTCCTTATTCAAAAAAAAAAAAATGTTCGTGTCACAGGACATTTTCTTACCTGCTTGAATACAAAGTCACAAAGAGCCTGGAATATCTTCTTTGGAATGGGGGGTTTACACTCTTCACAGACATCCAAAAAAAGGTTAAGCTTCTAAAAACAGGAAACTGTATCTATTAGGCAATGTACATTGGAGCAATCATGCATAGCTTCACCATTAAAGTAAAATTAATAGCATCATCTGGTGCACCAGCTGTGTTTGTTCCTAGATTTGGGGGGGGGGCTTCAGAGAGTCACTCATGCCCTGGTCACCTCACAGCTGGAAGTGCTTACTTTGGCTATGTAGAATGAGTCAAGAACTCTGCTGTCCATAAGGACTTTGGGAATGTTCTGTATAATTTCATCTTGCTGCTCAGTACGACGAACCAGCACCCCTAGCATTGGCCACTGGGCTTTCACTGATGCCTCCTTAACCTACAGGAAAGCAAACATCTTCAATCATAAGAACGTCATGGCAAGAGCTGTTGCATAGAGATCTGGGAAAACACAGTCAGGCTGCCACTTGATACACGCTTCAAATTATACCAAAATATTTGTGAGGCTCTCTGTTATGATTTTTGCAGTGTACACCAGGGGTCCTCAACCTTGGCGACTTTAAGACACGCTCTTTGGGGAGGAAGTTGAGTTTGTAAAAAAGGGGACAGAAATGTTCTCGGTCCATCCTCTTCCTGGCATCTGTTCAGAACAACAGCAATGCTATCTCCCTTTATTTTTAATTTATGAGCAGAGGTGGCGCAGCAGTTAGAATGCAGTACTGCAGGCCACTTTAGCTGACTGTGTTCAGCAGGTCAGCGGTTCAAATCTCACTGGCTCAAGGTTGACTCAGCCTTCCATCCTTCTGGGGTAGGTAAAATGAGGACCCAGATTGTTGGGAGCAATGTAAATATATATATACATTGCTTACTGGTATACACCGCTTAGAGAGTGCTTGCACTTAAAGCGGTATATAAGTCTCATAAATAAATAAATAAATTGTGATATTGCCGTGCACTCATTTGTGACTGACTATCCAATAGTCTTGATAGTCACAACCTGCTCTCTGGTGAGGAACAGAGATTCAGACCCCAGGAAAAACAAGAGGGAAAATCAGCTGCTGACTGGAGTTACAAATGCTAATAATAAACAGGCATGAAAAAACAATAAAGTATATTGGGGTGGAGAAATTTTTTTCCACTTCCTTTTGATGGCTCTAACTTCATGTTCCTTTTGTGTAGCCATGAGTCCCTTTTGCTATAATCCAGTAAATTGACAATTTAAGGATGTGTTTAAAAGTTACGCTAAATAATTGCCTATGTAAAAAATGTGTTTTTCTGGTTCTCTTTTTTCCTCTGCTTGCTTTTGTGATTTTTGCTTTTTCCTATCCCTATTTTTCTCTTCCCTTCTCTTTATATTATTTACAGTAATATAAATTAAAAAGTGCAGCACTTAACTTGTGTCATCTCAAAGAGAAAGGTTAATTTTTCATTTAAATATCTTGCATAAAATTTTCCCAGGACTGATAACAGACCAATTCGCATATAATTGACAGGGTTACCCACTTTTTTTTTTTTTAAAGAGAACTAAAGATAAATTGGACAGATCCTTACTTTTGTTTCCTCGTCATTCATCCAATCACTAACCAGACACTGATAGATGGGGATAACAGGAGCACAGAGATGGGCCTCAGTCTCTCTGGGGAATGAGCACATTTTCCAGTTTTTATAGTAAAAGTTTATGGCAGTACAGAAAGTTTCCATAACTGTGAATGAAACAGAAAGAAGCAAAATGCCTGAGAGGTGATTTTCTAGGAAAAAAACTACTTTGTGTCGTACAGTAGTTCATTCACAATAGGATAACCAGGGAAATTAATTTATTCATTCATTCAAATTTGCATGCTGACCCTTTCACCAATAAGGCAACAAAATATACAATATTAAATGTCATTGCTAAATTATTAACTATTTGCCTTCTCTTGCAGCAAGGTTCTTTTTCTCCAGTTTTTTTCATTTGATTTGCATCTTAATATTTGGGCTTTTGTTGTTTTCATTTCCACGTACACAAATTAAAATCTGGGCAACCTGCTGGCATGAGGCAGAGGACATATTGCTAATATTGCTAATGGCTGTTCAATGCTGGTATTTATCTTACGTAGATGCTCCCAGACCAGCATGAGACTGTGCAAACCAAGACAAAAAGGAATGGTTGATTAGGCTTGAATCAGTCTGAAAATTCACCCCATTGTATGTTTTTGTTTAAATGTATGTTAAGCTAATAGAGACTAGATTATCAAGTAGAAATTCACACATTTTAGATATGTGGTACAAGTTGATGAAAGACTAGAACAAATGGCTATGCTTGTCATGGCTGGGGGCAGTAGAAGAACAGGAAGCCAATAGAATGGATGGATGAGATCAGGAATATAACGGGAATGTCTCTGAAAGAGTGCCAAATTGTCACTGGGGGACAAGTCAAAATGAAGGGCATTTTCCGTACCTTTACTAGAGTTAGTTAAGAGTCTATAGACCCATCTAACTGTTAATTTGCCTCCTAACACAGAGGTCCCCAACCTTTTGAGCACCAGGGACCAGTTCCGTGGTGAGAGGTTTTTCTGTGGACCAGAATGGGTGTGGTTCCATGTACTGCCTGCATCCTGGGGCTTTGCTTGTTTGCACACACCGGTTTCTGGCATGTCACGGCCTGGTGCCAGTCCCCAGACCAGGGGTTGGGGACCCCTGTCCTAACAGACTCTCTTCTAGATTATTTTCCTTAAATTCTGCATATTCTACTTCTGCTACTCAAAAGTCTGAAATAGTTCCTGGAGGGAAAGTCAGGTTAATTATTTTTAATTAACCATTAGCTATTAGAGTAAATAGATTAAAATGGAGAATTAACACTAATGGTAGACCCCAAATCTGAAAGGATGCACCTTAACATTTAAGGAAGAAATGGCCATATAGGCTAAATGAAAAAGGGAAATTATGTTCTCACTTACCGTAACACACCGCTTCCTTCATATGGCTTATCATGGGCATCCTTAGAATCATTCTTATATACACAAAAGTTAAAGACAAAAATGGGACACACTTAAGTGCTGCAAGAATGAAAAAAAATACATATGTGTGTTAGATGAGCGAAGCAACCATGGGAAATCCCAAAGGTGCTTTTTTCACGAGGCAACTGGACTTTCTTGTTTTTCTTTGAAGACATTTCATTTCTCATCCAAGAAGCTTCTTCAGCTCTGGGTTCACCTTTGGGACAACCATGACCTGGATGACCGAGAATCTCCATAGATAACCATGGGAAATATGAGGCAGGCCTCTCCTTATCCCAATTAACTTCTTCCAGCTAGTTGCCCATTCAAAGGCATTTGCTAATTGATTCAGCCAACTATCAGGCTATATAAATACAATATGTGTTAAACTGCTATATCGTTCCATGACCTTTTCTTTTTATATTGACAGGTGACAGTGAGAGTGAGGAGGAGGAGTAGCATTCTTTTTTTTTTATTATTAAAGAGTTTTATAAATTTTACAAAAAATAAGAAACAATACAAAAACAAAAAACAACATATACAAATAAAAAACAAACATTACCCAACAAAACCCCCCTTCCCCCACCCCTACCCAAACCCCCCTTCCCCCCCCAGGACCTCCCAGAGCAGAATATAGGCTTAATTAAAGAAAAAGTTAAAAAAATTTATAAAAAAAGAATATAAAATAGAAAATATATATATATATATATAAAGTTAAAAATTATGAAAAAACTATATAATATTTTTTATATCAAATTTAAATTGTATGAATTTTATCCATTTATCCCAAACAGCAAGAAATTTCTCTTGCGTTTGTCCCTTTAAGAAAGCCGAAATCTTTGCCATTTCCGCCAAATGAGACACTTTAAGAAACCATTCCTGCAATGTAGGCAAAGATTCCTTCTTCCAATATTGTCCTACTAACAGCCTCGCAGCTGTTATCAAGTTTAACATCAATATAACCTCCTTTGTGTCACAATCAGTAACTATACCTAACAAAAATAATTGTGGAGTAAATTTTACCCTCCTTTTAAAAATTCTCTGGATATTCCACCATATCTTAATCCAGAATGCTTTTATCTCTCTGCACGACCACCAAATATGATAATAAGTAGCATCCATATAACCACATCTCCAACATTTAGGTTGTAAGTCAGGGTACATAAAAGACATTTTTTGTGGATCAAGGTGCCATCTATAAAACATTTTATAAAAATTCTCCCTTAAGTTCTGTGCTTGTGTAAATTTGACATTTCTCACCCAAATAATTTCCCAGGTGTCCAATGGAACTGGCTCACCAAAATTCTGCGCCCATCTAATCATACAATCTTTAATTAGTTCCGTTTCTGAATCCAATTCAACTAAAACCCCATAGATCCTCTTAATGTGGGTTTGTCTTTGATCCTTCACTTGCTTAATAAGATTTTCATCTTCTCTGTGAAAACCCACCTTACAGTCCATCTTCCATCTATCTAATAATTGCCTATATTGGAACCAAGAATAAATAATATTTTCTTGTGCTAACTCTTCCCGTAATTTTAACTGCCAGTTTTGTCCATCCCATTTAAGTAACTGTCTATAGGACACCATATCCATTTTAACCCCTCTTTTTATTCCTTCTATTGCATGCCAAGGTACGGCCCATAATGGTACTTTAAAATCACTTTTGTAATATTTTCTCCAAACCCTAAGTAAAGAAATTCTTAAGATATGAGATTTAAAAGAGATTTAAAAGCCCAATCCATTTTTTTATTAAATATTAAATAGGCATGCCACCCAAAAAGAGGAGTAGCATTCTTGACAGTTTGAAATAGAAGAACAGAGCTGGAGGCTTGATGTCACGTTGCCTAGAGTCTTCTCAAACCTGATGATGTCCTTGGTCGTTACTCAAATGTTGCTACCTGACATCCCATAAAAATTAACTAATTACTTGAAAATACCAGGAATCAATGCTTTTAAAATAATGATCGTAAGAGCCAGAAAAAAAGAAAAAAAGGCTAGAGAAAGTAATAAAAAGGCTACAGAGAAATTAGAAAAGTCATCCAGAAATTAAACAGGGTCTAGAATGACAAAGACTGCTGCAAGAATTTCCCTTTTGATTTAGTACATTGCATAGTTGGCTTCAATGTTTGACCTATACATATAGATACTTTTTAGTCAAAATAATTTTAATTTTAATTCTGTTATTCCATAAATGTTGAGCAACCATTTGGTCTATATCACTCTGAATTTGACTCTTATGGCGGGGGGAGGTTTAAGTGAAATTTCAGTGTTTCTACTGAAAGGTGGCTCGTTCATAAGCTGTACCTCATAGAATTTGATTCAGATCATTCCTTGGGACCAGTTTGCACAGCATATTAGATCAGGGCTTTTCAGCCTTTTCACCCATTGTACCACTTTTAGGATATGGCAATATCCAAGTACCATCAGTCGCCCAGCAAGGTGTCAAAAACTTGATGACCCCCCCCCCAAAAAAAGGAAAAAAGTGATAAAGTATAGGTAGTCCTCGACTTACAACAGTTCTCTTAGTGACTGTTCGAAGTTACAATGGCACTGAAAAAAGTGCCCCCCAAAGCACAGCCGAGCAAGACATCTGCCTGCCCACCCACTTCATTCCCCTTCCCCACTACCACCTTTCTAGGATGGTCGTGTATCACCTGCCAGGTGCCAATGTACCATAGGTGGTACCCATACCACTGGTTAAAAAGCCCTGTGTTAGATCACTACCATAATTCTCCAGCCCTACAGAGAAAGGCTCAGTTCCTGCTTGAAACAAAATACCCAACAGTGAAGGAAGAACTGCTAGAGGATGCTATACCATAGTGAGATGCCAGGTTTCCCAGAGTGGTCAATACCATGTGGTGCGGGAGCATCCCAGTCTTCATATTCCTTTGAAGTTCGTACATGACGTCATTGAAATGAGAGTTGGCCAGAGCTAGAAGGATCATGCTGGCTTGGACACTGATTTTCAGAGGCACTTCCTACAAAGGTGGAGAAAAAATAGGAATTATTGTCAGCCAATAATTTCAAGACCATTAAAATGAGGTTAGCTCTCAATTAATAAGGAGGGGATATTTTAACATGAACTGGATAGAACAGGGCTTGGAGGTTTTTAAGATGAGATTGGACAGCCATTTGTCTGAAATAGTATAGGGTCTCCTGCTTGAGCAAGGGGTTGGACTAGAAGACCTCCAAAGTCCCTTCCAACTTTGTTATTCTGTTATAGGTAGTCCCTGACTTATGACAGTTCATTTAGTAACCGTTTAAAGTTATAACAGCATGGAAAAAAGTGACTTATGACTTCTTTGCACATTTATGTCTGTTGCAATATCCCCATGGTCACATGATCCAAATTCAGAGGCTTGGTAACTGATCATATTTATGACAGTTGCAGTCTCCCAGGGTCATGTGATCACCTTTTGTGGCCTTCTAAAAAGCAAAGTCCATGGGAAAGTCAGATTTACTTAAGAACTGTGTTATTTATTTAACAACTGCAGTGATTCACTTAACAACTGTCTTACTTAATAACATAAATTTTGAGTTCAATTGTAGTCGTTAAGTCAAGGACTATTGTAGTTGGTTGTATCTAACTTCAGCCTTTTCCTGGCTGCTCATGTTCCAGACATATTCTTACTCCTGACACTTAAAACAAGGATCTCTAATAGCATCCTTTGTGCTTGCTTGTCTGTGTATTTGAAAAAGTGCCTGGGCAAGTAGATAATTAACTGTTTCTAGTGGGTTTCATGTATATCCTCTTATACTTCTTGATTTTTCTGATCACTTGTAGGACCAGATCAGGGGAACTCTTTTGTTTGATTTTTTTATCCAATTTCAATTTCTTCAGGGGTTTTTTTGGCAGGCGGGGGGCATCACTACATGAAGTTCTAAAAACTAGAATGTATTTATGTAAAAATGTTTAAAATATAAAAGGCCTCATAGATTCAGAATCAGAATAGAGCTAGAAGGGACCTTGGAGGTCTTCTAGTCCAACCCCCTGCTCAAGCAGGAGACCCTATACCATTTCATACAGGTGGCTGTCCAGTATTTTCTTTAAACTCTCCAGTGATGAAGGACCTGGATGAAGGCAAGCTGTTCCACTGGTTAATTCATTGCTGTGATTTTCACATAATGGTAATCTATAATGTGACGTGTTTTTGACTGAATGGGATGTATGATGAAATGGTAGTAAACCATAGTTAGTAAACATGGTTTACTGCTGACTTATACTGTGATCTTCTGAGAAGCAAAGTCAAAGGGGAAGCCAGTTTCCCTTAACAACTGTGTTACTGACTTAACAACTGCAGTGATTCACTTAATAACTGCAGCAAGAAAAAACTCACTTAACAAATGTCTCAGCAGCAGTATTTTTTGGCTCAAGTGGTGGTTGTAAATCAAGGACTATTTGTATTCTATTAAATGAATGAAAAGCAGAAGCTAAACACAGAACTGCCATTTTCAATGGCAATCTCTTACCCTTTCTATAGTCTAAGAGGAAGCTTCTTGTGCTAAAAGAAGTTAGTACAAGATCAGTGCAAGAGTGATGAAAACAGTTTTCCAGATAAAGTGTGCTATAAAGCAGGGGTCCCCAACCCCCAGTCCATGGACCAGTACCAGGCCACAGTATGCCAGGAACTGGTCCACACAAAAAAGCAAAGCCCATCCATGAGATGCAGGCAGCCCACAAAACCACGCCCCCTCCAGTCCACAGAAAAACCTCTCTCCATGGAACCGATCCCTGGTGCCCAAAAGGTTGGAGACCTCTGCTATAAAGCCTTTGACTCACCATGCTGTTGATTTTATGCAACAGGCCTTACCTCATTTACCATCTCTTGGGCCAAAATATTGATGGCCAACTTGACATTAACTTTCCCAACCATCATGCTGATGTCTTGAGCAGCTTGCTCAGCATTCTGCAGGCATTCCAGATAGGAGTAGATGTAATCATAAATCTCTGAAAGGTAACAAAGAAGAATTTGGAGTGTCACCCTTGAAGAGGGCCTGATTTGCCTGTAACAAAGCTCCATAACAGTATTATTTATAACCTATTAGACAGTTTATATCATTAGAATTATGACTTACTTCAGAACATGTTGAACTGACATAGAGATGCAATTTATAATAAGATGTTTCTGTAAGTTCACCGGAGCCAATATTTCTTCACTAAGCCTTCTTTTTGTATCTTGGCATCTTGATACACTGTCATAGTCTGCTGGAATATTTAAACTAGCCTTCGGTTCAATGTATCCAGAAGATTTCATATTGAGGAAAGTTGGTTTAAAACATTGATATTTTTGCCTTTTACTGTAAAGTTTTTATTTTTAAAAAAACAACAACAATCATATCCCAAGATTTAATTTGCACTGAGATGAATTCTCCATTGTTCCTATTATGGAATTTTATTCACCCCAGAAATGCCACCCAAAATATTAGTTTAAGGAGGAGAAACAAGGGATTTTCTTCAGAATCAGAGCAGAGGAAGAAAATCACCATCCTTAATCAGCAGAAGCAGTCTTGCTAAGTAATGTCAGAGTAAGTTAACTCCAGCAGTCCTCCAGAACGATGTCAACAAGGACTGCCCAAAAAGATTGTTTTCATTATCATCTGCATCATTTCAAAAGATGGCAAGTGAACATATATTCAGTAGGCATCAGAAAGTCATATTAACGTCTGTAAAAAAAAGTCACTGGAGGAGAAAGTGGTCATGTTGTATTTTTGTTTGGATTCATCAGTCTTCAGTGCAGTGTCATTTATAGGAGATGCAATTCCAAAAGCTTTGCTTCTTTCTACTGTTTATTCTGTTGATCACTAGAGGAACAGGGATAATGTTAAAGGAACTCAGAGTACCTGATGAGCCATCTCATTACAAAGGGATTAGCCTGCCTCACTCATCAGTGGAGGGAGCTTGTTGTGAATACTATCTGTTAAGGACTTTTACCTGGCAGAATCCAGGACAACAGCCTTTTCCACTGTGGCCCCTGCCCTGTGTAACGTTCTACTGATGGAGGCTAAATCTGCTCTTGTCCTCCTGATCTCAAAATGTGATTTGGCCTGTTGGCTTGAGGTCCTGATGGGGACACTCCTTGCTGGAGATGGCTGACAGGATGAGAAGATCATCTCACCATTGTGCTGCCCATCTCATTGGTTCCAATTTTTATATAACTCTTTTAATTCTAATTGTTTTTATATTTATCTTTCTGTAGTTTGTAAGGCACCCAGAGTAACCTTATTGGTCAGATGGATAGCATATTAATAATAATCCCCCAGTGAGGCACTACTTGATGTGGTTGTGGGGCTTGTGTACTCTGAGGAAGATGAGAGCTATGTTAGAGGTTCAACCATACTGGACAGATCTCATCAGAGGAGTCAGACAAAGAGTGTCTCTCCCATAAAAAAAATATGGTGAGACGTAAATTTCAGAAAGCCATACCAGCTTGGATGTCACCCAGGTTAACAAGGTCCATGCTAGATGTTGGAGTTCCTGGATATCTGGTAAAAAATGGGTTACAGGACTCAGGACTGTTTTCTGAGCAACCAGGGCCAGCAGCTGCAGAACTACTGGAAGAAAAGGTGTTTATCTATTGCAAATACATAGTGATTGAAAACTAAGAAATAATGATGTTATTACAGATCAAGTCCAACAAGAAGAGGACATCTAAAATGAATGCACCAGTTCTGGAAAGAACAAAATCCAGAATCAGAAATAACAGAACAGAGACTAGTAGATCAACTCTGATTTATAATACGAAATAAAGTATTCACAAAAACAGAATTGGGTGAACTGCAAAGGTTTACCCAGGGCAAAGAAATCAAAGCCTTGCCAGAAGTAATTCAGAATGTAGAGGCAAACCAGGGGGAGTTGGCAGTGCAGGAATCAATATCAAGTATAAGCACCAATTCACTGCAAGAAACAAACCAACTAATGTACAGCACAACTGCAGTTATAACTTAACAACTGCAGTTATAACTTCTCAACAAAGAAGAAAAACAAACAGTGCACCACAAAAATGGAAGGTTAGACTAGAAAATAAGATCAGCAAGTTAAGATCACATGCAAGCAAGCTACAACAGATGAAAGAAAAGAAGCTGAAGAACAAAAAGACCAAAGAATACCTAATCAAGAAATACCACTTAAAAACAAGAAAGATCAAGGAAGCACTAGAAATAATAAAGCAGCAAATAACAGCTATAGCTAGGAAAATCAGTAGATTATAGGCAGAACCTCCCATTTCAATCCAATCAGAAATATTTCTACCAATTCATCAATGGAGAAACTGCAATGAATCAGTCAGCATCTGACAAGGAAGAACCAGTGCAGCTCTGGAAGCAGATATGGGAGAACCCAAAGAAATACAACAAGGATGCGGCTTGGTTAAAAGAGGTGGATGCAAATAAAATAGAAGTTGAAATGAAAGAACTAATAATAACAACATAAATGGTAGAAAAAAGAGCAAGGAAGATCAAAAATTGGTCAGCACCAGGTAAAAATGAACTGCATGGGTTTTGGTTGAAACATCTAACTGTTATACACCCACTCATTGCCAAGCAGTTCAACAATATACTACAAGGAGGAGAAATTGAAAAGTGGCTAACAACTGGGAAAACCTACCTAATAATGAAAAATCCAGCAAAAGGGGCAATACCAGGCAACTACAGGCCAATCACCTGCTTACCAACAACTTTCAAATTGCTAACTGATGTGGTAGCTGATGCAGTACAACAGCATCTACTTGAAAACAATCTCTTTCCATCTGAGCAGAAAAGAAACTGACCCAATAGCAGAGGAACAAAAGATCAACTCCTAATAGACAAAATGATCTTGGAAAACTGCAAGAAAAGGAAGACCAACCTGAATGTGGCATAGATTGACTACAAAAAGGCATTTGATCCTCTGCCACATGACTGGATAATCAAGTGCCTAGAAATAACAGGAGTCAGTAGAAACATCAGAAAATGTGTGCAAAGATCGATGGCACAATGGAAGACACAGTTACAGATCAATAGTGAGAGACTGGGAGAGGTTAATATCAAGAGAGGAATATTTCAAGGAGATTCATTATCACCACTACTATTTGTTATTGCACTGTTTCCTCTGTCAACAATAACTAAGGACATGGCTATCAAACATCAAAAACATCTGCCAGACTATCCCACCTCCTTTACATGGATGATCTGAAGCTGTATGAAAAACATTATCTGAAATAGAATCACTGTTCAACACTGTCCGTATATATAGCCAAGATATTGCAATGGAGTTTGGCTTAGATAAATTTGCCACACTTACTATCAAACAAGGAAAAATAGTGAAAACTGAAGGAACCAAGATGCCCCATGAAAATAACATTAAGAGTCTGGATGAGGAAGATTACTACAAATACTTGGGTATCCTTCAAGCTGACAACATCAAGCACACTCAAGTCAAGAAAAAGATTAGAGGTGAATACATCAAGAGAGTGAAGAAGATCTTAAAGTCCAAACTCAATGGAGGAAATACCATGAAGGCAATCAATACCTGGGCAATTCCAGTCATTAGATACACAGCTGGAATAGTGGACTGGACTCAAGCAGAACTAAAAGCAATGGATAGAAAGACCAGAAAAATAATGACAATGAATCATGCCCTTCATCCATGCAGTGACATTGACAGACTCTACCTACCAAGGCAAATAGGTGGGAGTGGAATGCTGCAAGTTCATCAGATGGTTGAAGAAGAAAAAATGGCTTTGGAAGAATATCTGAAGGACAATGATGAAGATGCACTGAAATTAGTATATCAGGAAGGCTTATTGACTACTGGAGAGACCAAACTGGCCTACAAGAAAGATCAGATGAAGAACAGAATAGAGGCATGGGAAGACAAAGCATTATATGGCCAGTACATTAAAAGCTGGGAAAGCAGATAATAACAAGACCTGGCAATGCCTAAGAGCAGGAAAATTGAAGAAAGAGACCGAGGGACTAATTCTGGATGCACAGGACCAAGCCTTAAGGACAAATACATACAAAGCCAAAATTGAGAAGACAGCAACAGACATTAAGTGCCACCTATCAAAGAAGCTGAAGAAACAGTGGACCACCTGGTAAGCTGCTGCAAGAAGATTGCACAGACTGACTACAAACAGCAGCATGACAAAGTAGCAACAATGGTGCCTTGGAAGATGTGCAAGAAATATCATTTGCCTTTAAGCAAGAACTGGTGGGATCATAAAATAGAGAAAGTCATAGAAAATGATGAAATTAAACTGCTCTGGGACTTCAGAATTCAAACAGACAAGCACCTGCAACATAACACCCCAGACTTAACAATTGTCAATAAGAAAGACAAAAAAGTCTGGATAGTGGACGTGGCAGTGCCTGGAGACAGCAGAATAGAGAAAAAAGAACTGGAGAAGATAAAAAATACAAAGACCTACAAATAGAAATAGAAAGACTGTGGCAAAAGCAAGCAAGGGTAGTACCAATAGTAATAGGCGCTTTGGGTGCAATCCCAAAACAACTGGAGCACCACTTGAACACCATTGGCATTGACAAATTCGCCATTAGTCAATTGTAAAAAGCAGCCTTACTAGGAACTGCTTCCATCCTGCGATGATATCTGTAATACCATCAAACATCCACATCTGCCTATCCCAGGTCCTTGGTAAGGACTCGATAAGTAGACAAAAATGCCAAATCCAGTCTGAACATCTGGCTGACTGTGCGATGATCAATGATGATGATGAAGAAGAAGAAGAAGAAGAAAGGGACCTTGGAGATCATCTAGTCCAACCCTCTGCTTAGGCAGGAAACCCTATACCAAATAAACTCCCTCTTCGTTTTTTGCTTTGTTCCTGTTCTGCTCTCCTTTGAGTAAGCCTGCACTGTGATGTCATAACTGTCAACTAAACCAGAACTTGTATTGACTGATGAGCATGGTAAATTTGTTGGGGTAGAAATTAATTTGCCTGGGTCTAAGACTCTAATATTGGGAATTTATGTCCCAAGTGAAGATAAAATATTGTTCTATAAGGGACTTGTGGGAGACTAGTGGGCTTAAATGAAGATTGATGTTTGATGGGGGATTGGAATGTAGTGATCTCCACACAAATAGACAGAACTTCAGAAAAAAATATAAAAATTATACAAGGCAAATTACATTTTTTAAAAATTTAATGAACAGTTTAGGGCTTGTCAATATATGGAGACAAGAATGTCAATTTAAGTGTGTGTGTGTGTGTGTGTGTGTGTGTGTGTGTATATATATGTATGTATATATATATATATGTATGTATGTATGTATATTCTGAAAGACATAGATACTTTTCAAGAATAGACATGAGTTAGTTTTCTGTTAGAAAGTTAGAATCTCCAATTTGGAAGCTACTATACTGTTTACCCACAACCAGTGGTGGAATTCAGCCAGTTTGCACCAGTTCAGCAGAACCAGTAGCTAATTTTTTGTTGCCCAGGCCCAGAATTGACTTCCAGAAGCAGCATCCACACAGAGAACCAATTATTCACATATTTGAATCCCACCATTGCCCAAAACCCACCAGAGAGGACTACATATAGAGTACTGACTTACTCTTAGAATGCAATTCTTACCTTCCAGTTTTAATGTTGGATTCACAAAGAATCTTACAAATATAAATTGTTTAGAATTATCTGCTTAGTTCTCAATAAAGCTGGATTGGCTTTTTCTTCCCTTTTTATGAAATTATTTCCCTGATAAAATACTATCCAGGTTGTTGCAAATAGATTTGTTGCAAACTTTGTATGTTACATCACAATGTGACTTTGCAACTAACCTCCCATCATTTCAAATGCCCTAAAATGAACTCATTAGATATCTGGACTGCTTCAGCAAAACATCTGTTATTTTCTCCCTTGTTTACAGTCTCTTTGAAAATTCTCCCTTTTCTCCTTTCATTTCTTTGGAACTTTGAGTTTTTATGTCTAAAAAAATATTTGTTAAACCGTGTTAGGTACTGTTGGGGGATTGAAGGATTTCTGGGTGATAACTTTATAATAATTAAAAGTCCTTGTTTTGGGGGGGGAATTGAATACAAAAATTTTAAAGGAAAACATTTTTGTCTGAAGTGTCCTATAATAGTTTTACATTAATATGGTTGTTGAACATGAACTGAAAGGACATACTTCACCCCTGAGTATTTAATGCTAATTTCTGTGGTCCTGGAAAAGTGAAGTTTTTTGTTTTGTTCTGTGTCTCTTCCCAAAAAACTCCTGGCACCTCTTTGTCCCACTTACCTTTCCTTATCTTTAAATCAAAAGGTGGATCAGTTATGAACATTGCCAATGAACCCGCTCATTTCACAGGTTGAATTGCTGTTGAATTAACTACAACTGGCCTGTCTGTCCAGTAGCTTCTGTACATTGGTCTGTGGGAGTAAATGTTGCTGAGGCCAGTGGGGCTTACTCCAAAGTAAATATACCCAAGATTGCAGCTCAAGTTTTAAAAAATAAC